CTATATTTTTCTTTCTTTCTTTTTTTGTTCAGGGTCTCACTACATAGCCTACATCAGTAGCGATCATCCTGATTTCTGCCTCCCAAGTGCCGGAGGTGGGGCCAACGCAGCATGCCAAGCTGAGGATTGAATCCTGGCCCCTGCGCTTAACTAAGCAAGCGCTTAGTCCGCTGAGCTATACAGCCAGCGCTCGGCTATATTTTTTGAGATAGGTTCTCTCTATGTAGTTCAGGCTGGCCTCAAGCTTGTGGTAGTCATCCTGCCTCAGCCTGCCCAGTGCTGGCATTATAGGCACGCACCACCATGCCTAGCACACTCCTTTTTTAATCACATAGGCTTGTTTCCTTTCAGTCTGCCCCATGTGAAGACACTGCCTTCTGGAAGAGGCAGGATGAATCATCAGAAGGCTCCTTGTTGAGAGTGAATCCAGAACCATAGGCAATGGGAGACTGATTGGCTGAATTTTGTTTTTTTCTTCCTAATTCTGGGGACTAAACTCAGGGAACATTGAGGTACATCCCCAACCTTTCTTATTTTTTATGTTTTTATTGTGAGACCGAGTCTTGCTCAGTTGCCCAGCCCAAGCTTGAATTTGTGATCCTCCTGCCTCAGTTTCTTGAGTTGCTGGGAGTATGCGTGGGTGCCACCACTCTTGGCATCAGTCAAGCTTTCTGGAGATTATACTGATCAGTGTGGTCCAATTCAGGGACTCCACCTGGTCTCAGTCGCATTTTTAGACCATCCCAATTTTATACAACCCTATTGTATACATCCTGAAAATGAGGATTAACCAGCCAGTCAATAAGACCTGGTTGAATACCTTCCTGGATCTGTGTGGTCTTCCCATTGGCCATCAGAGAAAGAGTGTCTGTCCCTAAGGAGAAAGTTGTGGCTCTGCTTTTTCTATAGAAAAGCTTGTTTCTAAAGAGTTCAAATGAATACTCTTTACTGTGATCAGGATCAGGTGGAAAAACATCAAATTAGATGGAGCATGATTATTTAATGAAGTGTACAATTGGCCCTCAGGAACCAGATGTTAGTGACTTCTTCGTACATCAGCTCAGGGGTCTTGGAGGTAGGGCTTGGGCCTACGAGATGATTTAGAAATTTTCAGACCTTAACAGCATACCTTTATAATACCATTTTTATAGCTCACTTTCTTGTACCAATTCTTAGAACATAAAAAATTAGTTCTTAGAAAAGTAGGGACTTGATGGCAAGTGTATTAATCATTGCTCTACTGGCATTTTCCTTTGCAAATTTCTAAGCAAGTTTGTATTTGAAAATTTAAAACATTTTCATATCACGGACTTGGGTTTGTCAGTATAGGGTTAGAATCCGGGCCCTTCACACTTGAGCTACCTCTTAGGCATTTTATTTATTTATTTA